TGATAATTTAATTTTTAGCAGGCAAAACTAGGTAGTGTATGGTAATATGTGTCTGTAACCACGTGTTCTTCTTACAGTCAGGCCGAAATAGGGGTTCCTTTGAGAATAAATAAACTTGCGCTTTCTCGATCGGCCGCGTTCTGTTGTTGTTATCGTTTACTCGATGTCTCAATTTGTGGATTTCGCCATGAATGGGGGTCAGGGAAGGTCGGAACGCCCCGGACGCGGAGCCTGCGTGGGGATATTTTAGCTGCAAGATTAAAAGGTTCATCACCAGTACGGCGTACGCAGGGTCCAAGTCAACCAAGAATCTGCGACTATTCCTAACCATGTATCTGTATGTAATCAAGCCTAATAAAAAAAAATTTATCGTGTCGAATGTGAAATGAAAAACGAAGAGAAAAGACATAGTGACCGGGTGTAGTCACGAGACAGACAAATGCTGTGCAGCACCTGGCAACAGATTGAGTGCTGTTAAAGAAATATGGGGTGTTTGCGTTCAACGCCATAACAAGCAACAGATCCTCAAGTTGCAGTCGAAGATCACAGATGCATTGGTATTTTTTGTTTTTTATTAATTTAAATATTCCCGAACTACGTATGTTCGATTCACAGCTGCCTGAGCAGTTACAATTACCCCAAACAAACCCAAGCCTAACGTATTACACCGGGATTCGTTTATAAAAAGGACAATTTTAACTGAGATACCGTACTGCATACAAGCATGTATTGCAGAAAATGACGGAGCGGTCACCGGCCAATCAAGCGAAACTAGATTACTTGTCGACGATCCTAGACATTATCGTGAGCTACCTAAACGGACGGCAATTGTTCCAAATGCGTAATGAGACAAGGGTCCAACTGAAAAGTTTTGGATGTTAGTATTTCTATCATAGGGCGTGTAGACAAGCGTCAATAGTCTATTATTCACTGCGTGCTAAGCTTTAAACTTGTACCGAAACGAGCTTTATCTGTATGTGTATGACGTATACAAAACTAACCCCGACTGTATGGAACGAGGAAGATGATGGTCGTATAACGAGTGACTTCTCCTGATTTTTGCTCGTTGGAAATTTCTGACATGTAAGCGCTTACGCATAAGGCGTTTTTGTTGACGCCGAAACACGAAAATCAGTATATTTTTCGACATAGCGAAGCAGAAACGTTGCGCAGACGCGTATGCCACGTATCAATTAATCAGAATAGAACTTCCACATGATAATGAAGCATATGGTAATAAAAGCAAGGCTGCAACAACAAAAGTGATGCAGAACCTGTTATTTCTAGCAGTCCAAGTATCTCACGCCTACGAAAACGCCGCGTGAAAAATCAAAGCCTCCGCGAGCTATTGGCTATAGCTGCATCAAGGCCATCTTATTGATGTACTTTTGCTGGAGATGAAATGAAGTTGTGCTTTACTTTTTCCACTGGTTATCGTTGTGGTGCCAAAACAGGGAGAAGTGGACGACAACCTGTAGAAGCGTGAGGAGGTGTTAATGTGTTATTACTACGACCAAGATGCTGATGGGTATGTGCGTGTGTGCCTGTGTAATGGTGTCTAAGTTTTGTTAGAATCTATTTCATTTTTTATTGCCGCTCAGTATGTCTCTGGTGAGTGTCAGCCAAGCTCCCCATAAGGGCTGTAAAGGTTTGGCGGGCGTTGCTCATCACCTTGGTGAGCATGCCGCCTCAAAAGTTGCCGCGAGCGCTATAGCTTGTGTACGACCACTCAAATCGTTGCTGTTACTCGCGCTATTATTGACGGCGTTGTACACCCCGCTGTGAGACGAACAGCGCGATGAGCAACTTAGCACCACTAAAACAAGTTGCGAGCCACAGTCGGAGCAGCAGCGATAGCGGCGGCGATGCCGACGAGTACCGGTTAGTCAGTCAACGAGGGAGCCACTCAGGGCGAAGTCATATAGCTTCAGAAACGGATCTTGGTTTTTAACGTCTTTTTTCGCTCTCTTTTTTGCTTCCTTTGCTCAGTTGAGTCATCAGTTCATTTGATTTTTCGGACGCCCTCGATGTAGCCGAAACAGCCCTTTTGAGTTAAACACCTCAATCCTATAAGTAGGCTTAGATAGTCAGTATCGTCCGTGATATCGCCAATAACCTTTAGCCGACAGAAAGCTTGACTTACACGGAAAACTTGAAAATCTCCAATTATCTATTAATTAAACCTGCCATGGACCGTCTAGGATATCTGGCTTGAAAATAGAAAGGGTCAGAAAATAATATCGAACGTTCCTTTGATGTTTCAAGCTGCGACCAATAGGCCTCGCGTTCATGCCAGCCTTATTATATAGATGTTTGAACATAATCTTGACGCTGACAACAGGTAGTAGATTCCATGATATTCCTTTCCAGTTTGTTCATTGTTTCCGTCACTCGATTTACTGCATGGTAAAAATTCAACGATGATCCTTCGATAGTAGTCTCTTGTCTCGTACATTTTACCTTCTAGTGACGAGCAGGTATATCGCTGGCTCGTCCTCTAAGGCGTTTGTGATCCACATAGACGCAAAGCGAAAAGCAACTAGACACGCCCTTCTCAACAGCGCAGTATAATGTTAAGAACCGCTAAAACGTAACGCCCGTACAAAGATGACGAAGAAATATGAGTACAATATTTAACAGATAGTGAGTGTCGATGGGTACCAAAAAAGTCCGACGTCCTCAGATATCGTCTATGGACGGCTACCGTAAGGTAAGAAGCCTGTATTCAATTCGGCCCCCCTTCATCTTCGTCCTGCTGACTTCCTGCAAACTGTGACGACATACAAAGCAAGTAAGGACTAACTAATCAAACCACTGTTGCACCATTACCCAATTCTTTCATTGATTTAATTCCTTTAACCATTTGTGCGGAACTCCAAATAGAAATTAGGACAGCGCTAGGACGAAAGCATACATCAATGCTTGAATGAATGTATTTGTATTATTGAACAATAGGTTCTCAGTTGCGTTATCGCTAATCGTCAAGCATTGTAAGCATCTATTTCGTCATATATATATATTTAAGGCCCATAATTTTTCTGTCATATACGATCTATCACGATCGATTACGACGATCTTTTAGTCTTGCTAAGATCTGAACTTCGCTGGTTTAAGTAGATCCCTACGATGGGATTTCGGTACGACGCATGTTCGATCTCATTGCTAGCTAAGATCGAATAGCATATACGTAAAAAATATCATTGACCTTAATTTCTACAGCCTAAGGCACAACCACATACCTGGCCAGTGTCATTGGACACACGTTAGCGACATGCATTTGCGCATATTTTCTTTCAATATTATATTTGGAAAGTATAAATGTTGTTTAAAATGTTTTGGCTAAAGGCTGTTCATATTATCTAGCGTTACATAGAGAGTCATTTCCTTTGTTATTACTCCGATTAGTATTATCCCATTGCATTTCACTGAGCCCCTCTGTCGGCGACAACCGCTCACACGTCAACAGCGCGTTGAGAACTACGACTCTACAATCGCTCAGCTGAAATTGAAGTAAAAATATCCCGTCAAAAAAATATCTCGCACTGTGCGGAATCACCCGAACACGATCAAATTTGTAGAAATTTTTATTGGCACTAGAAGCCGAAACGGCAACCAGCGCGGCAGCAGGCGTCAAAGGACCAGGGCGCCGCCAAAGGGAGTCAGAGGGAACGCAGAGCGTACGTTCAATCGGCACCAAAGAGACAATCCACAGAACCAACCGGCAAACACAGAAAATAGAGGAACAAACGATCACATGCACACACGCACGCAGGATCATCCTTTAGACAGTCAGATAGATAGATAGATATTTTCATCGAGTTGAAAAGACGCACTGCGGCGAGAACTTTTCTACTGCTTCATGAGCGAAGTATCTGCAAGATATTGCTGTACAGTGGCCCTTTTTCAGCAGCATCAGTCCAAATCGACTTTCATACATTTGGTCAGAAATGCCGTCGCCCCGACCCGTTACGTGAAGATCAACTCATTTGTAGTGGTTACAAGTCGCCTGGTGCTGTAGGCAAAAACGAAAGAGCGGTGTATGTGTGTGTTTTTTTGTTTATTTCTATTGGTTTGTCTGTCTGTGCATGTGTATGCTTCTGTATTGTAAACTGACGTACGGCGGAAGACGCTGGCTGGCTAAAACGGCGACGGTGGGCACCTATAAAAAACTAAATGAAGGAAAAATCGAACGCGACGAGAAGAACGAAGTAAATTTGTACACACGAACGAACAGCTGTATACACCAATGATGACTTAATAATATGTTTTGTGTTTGTAAATGCCCACCTATGCTTGATGAAGACAAAGAAGAACACACTTATCCCGTAAGTGTAGACCCATAAAAAGAATACTATGGAACTATAACCTGAACAGACGTTGAATCTTTACTTATTAGAGCTTGTTTCTGTGTCTAAGGGCCATTAATATCAGTCTGCTAATTAGGATGGGTATTCTCCTGCCCTAATTGTTGCCAACGTTAGGACATAAGCAAGTTAAATTGTTCGAAACCTGCTCTTGATTGGTACTTTCGAAAGCCGCAACTAAATGAATCACCTAAATTTACTTCAGCACTTCTGCTTGCAGCTCGTATTCATTCTGGATATGTATCAAATAGATAGGTAATAATAGCAAAATAGGTAGCTTTCCGTAAAATAGGCAATTGCGACATAAAAACTTCAGTAGTTTTAGCAATTGTCCGCATAGAGTCATGAGAAATTGTCGTAACACGCAGACCTCTTCAGCTTAGTTTGTCAAACTTAGCCACAGGTTGAACAATGGAAGCTTTTTCAACGTATGTCAGGAGAAAGGTAGTATGTGCAATAGGGCCGTTGTACGCTGTCCTAAAATACGGTTTCCGAAGGTCCTTCTTTTTTTCCCTCAATAACATACTATAACTAAAAAGTGAAATATAGCTTCTGGACGATGAAGCATTCGATGCTAAACCTGTGAAATTAATAAAAATAGTCATAGAGCTCTGTGCTTGAATTTGGTTATTCCAGGTATGGTTTCAAAATCGTCGGGCAAAATGGCGACGAAAGGAAAACACCAAGAAGGTAACTATAACGAAGTAATCTTCTTCACTATCCCGGGAATCGACTACTCTGTCACATCGAAATTGCTAATGGGGTACTTGTGTATTTTCAATGGAAACACTGTAGATATATTGTACAAATTGAAAGAAACTCCTAAAAGACTAATTCTTGATTCAATGCACTACTATACTAGGTTCTAATGCTGAAATTTCTGTTTTTTAAGACTGTCATTACATAATTGTCAGATTATTTCAGTCGAAATAGTTTACATTATTCTATACTCACTATTTAATGTACTTTTCATGCACAAATGTATATCACAACTTACAACTGAAACATCTTTTGGTAGGGTCCTGGCCGGCCTGCCCATAACGCGCACCCACAGACGTGTTCTGGAGAGCCTATTCCACCAGAAGAAATCGAACGTCGTGAACGAGACAAAAAAGAGAAGAAGCTGCGAAAACAGTTAGATCGTCAACTGAAACGACTACAGGGGGCACAAACGAAACCAAATGCTAATTTAGCTGCACTCGGGGAGGGCATCGTTAACGTTCTTAGGCAAATCTATCTTGAAGACACCTGCAGAGGATTGGAAAAGTTACCTGATGGCCTTCGAAACAACCTTGAACAGCTCGGCATTGACCTGGCATCGCTTCAACTGCGTTTCCAAATTGAAAGTTTCCGAACAGTCACCGCCTCTGTGCCCACGCCCTCGCCGCAGTCAGCGTGGGAAGAAGGTAGGGCCACCACAACATCATTCTCTATTGAAGATATTCTTCGTGAACAGCCGCCCAGGTAACAGCCACTCGAAGAGGTTCGACTGAGGAACCACTGAGTTCCGGAGTTTTCTGGAACCGTCTCGAATTAAAGCTGTTTCAAACTGAAATCAGAGAGTGATTCGTGCAGAAAAAAAAAAACATTGTTTAAATAGTTCTGACAGGACTTCATCGGTTACTTTATGCAGTGTGACAGAAGCTACGTTTCGTAAAGGCGTCACCACTAGTGAGAACTACTCTGTGCTTAATTTATGAATGAGAATGTTAGTAATTAAACAGAGCTTTGTTTTGCATTAGTAACATAAAAAGTAACAAAAAAAAAAAACTAGATACGAGGTGTTTGTGCACAGAGATGTTATTGTAGAGTCTTCCGGCCACTGGTCGCGTATGTACTTAAGGAGTGCCCTTCCATAATATATTTCAAATATGGTGATCTAGCATCATATGATAACAAATGCGAACAACAAATCGTGTTTAGTTTATTATTACATCATTTTATCTATATACATTAGTATACAGAGTGAGTTTTTACTAAAACACATGTTTTTACTTAATGCAAGAAAACTGCGCATGGACAAAAGGTTGACTTTGTTCCAGCAGGACAAAATAGCTGCCTACTTATAGCGGGCATTCATTCAGCTTTTGCTTTACTTTTAAGTTAATCAGGTAAATGAAGTGACGATGGATTTGTCGAGGGCGATGTTTGATCTCAGTGTAAATATGTACGTGTGTATAGATGGAGCAAGGCTTCGTAGACTTCGAATGATAATTTCCAAATGGTTAAAGCCAAATGTGTGTATCAAACAACGACAAACCTGCATTTCGAAAGGAACAGACACAGAATACATGTATCTGTATAGACGTGTTGTGCTTTCAAGTGTAAATAAATGTATATTTAACAATAATAAAGCGTTTTTTTACTTTTGGTGCATCTGGTCAACTAAGGAGCCATATGAGCGTAGAAGTGAGCGAGCTCCAGGATCCTAAAAACATTCGACAGGAGAGTGCTCATTCATACATGCTAAAACAACTATCACTAACGCGTGATAGTACTAAAAAGATATAAATAAAGAGAACACGGACTTATAAAGCGTATACGTGATCGGATTTACTACCAACTACTATTACTATTTATGATCTAACTAATCAATTGAGTGGTTTCAACGACGAATCAGGTAGCAGTACTTACGGATTTCGAAAATAAATTCATAAAAAACCGCACAGTAAAAGGCTTGCAGATCTCGTGCAGAGGACAACGTCTTATGACCTCTGTGAAAAAACGCATGTTACGGACAATGCCGTCTACTTTGAGAGGCAACAAAACTGAATAGCTGATAAGTTTTCTTATCGTACCTTCACACATTCATTTATCAGAAGCCAAAGACCACAAAATTTCGTCCCATTGACTTAAACCCGTCACTTGATCTTCATAGGTACAAGTTCTCGTATTCTGAACCTTTGAGCGAGTTAACAAAAATTTCATTTAGTAAGTAGAAATGGTACGTTTCCGCTGTACGTAACTTGTAGAACTCGGTCGGGCAAATCCTGTATATTAGCAAACACGCTATCCCCGCACTGAAGAATAGCCCTATCAATTCATCTATAATACAAGACTGCGTTTCTTTAGTGATTGCGTTCAATTAAGATGAAGAAATCGCGTGGAAACAGAAACAAAAGGATGGATTTTATAATAAATGAGAAAAAGCATGTTTGAGTACGCATTGAGGCGTCTCAGAAATAGTCGTCGCAAGCCGCTGCTCTGCCGACTCCGCTGACTGGCATGAGACAGCTAACTGAGACAATGGCATATAATATTAATGGGATATTGTCTAAGTACAAGCTTCTTCGTAAAGTCATTATATAGCATTGTCTTCTTAAGATAGATTCAGGTAGCCTCTATAACTATGCGAGACGCCTGTTGGCGACAAGTGTCTTTTTTTGAAGGATAATTAAAATCTAATGAATAAATTTTTTTAGTTTAACGTAAGGGAACTACAGAACACGATAATATGAGACGTGTGATTTCACTTACGGTTGTTGAAATTAACTTGCATTTATCATTGACGTTAGTAATAAGTTATGTCCCGCGGACAGTATACGTAAAAACGTGGCATTTTATTAGTAATAGCTTACCCAAGGCATTGAAGAAAAATGGACAGTACAACACGTAAATGTCATTTCGCCATATACGTCAAATAATGAAAATAGCTATTACCAGCTAAGCCTATCACTTTTATCATCTCACTGAACCACTGGCTAAAGAGTTTTGTCGCTTCCTTAATAATTATAAGCATTCTTATATGTACGTAAACAAAAATTTAGCTGTACTAAATATAAAGCGTTTAGAGAATGCTCCGAAAGTTGGTACATGAATACATATCTCGAAATTGACAACTCAACTCGACAAGTATGAACGCTGACGCTTCATTCGTTTTCAGCCGAAGCCGCAATAAGCTGCACAGTGGGTTTAAAGTCATCCTGGTTCTGTTGCGCTCGAAGAAGCCCTCGAAAACCTAAGTTTTTGTGGGTTCAAACACGGGATCATAAGTAAATAACCTGAGTTTGCATCGACTGTTACACTGCTGTTACAAAAGAAAGCACTTCACAAGCTTTTCTAACACTTCAAAACTAATGTCATATTGCATTTTTAATATATACTTTGCAATCCCAAAAGAAATAGATACAGAATAAATAGGATTAGCAGGGATTATTGTAACAGACGATGCCTAGAACATATCTCAAGCCCCACGTTTACTAAAACGCTTTCTAAAACGAATCGATGTAAACATTCACAGTATACTATCACGAATTCAGGTAACGTGCTTCTATATTGCGCATCTCTAATTATGAATCACGCTACGCTATATTTGAGTAATATGGGCTATTTCTTTAAAAAATAATCCGTCAACTATCATCACCTACTAATACATACGCGATAGAGGGCACTGAAGTTACCCAATAGACCTCTCTCTGAGAACGTTGTCGCGATCGCACTCATTCGTTATCTCCGTTGGGCTTCTTGGCTGTTTCTCTCTTTCCCCTTTTCCCCTTTCCCTGTTTCTCTCAAAAAGCGAGTCGGGACTATCTTACGACATAGAACGAAGATTTCCTTCTCTGTCGAAGTCCCACATATCTCAGTTTTAGTAGTGGTAGGTGAAAAAAGGGCTAATAGCTTTCCAAAACCAGCCGGTGTTCAAACTTGGCGCCAAGCGCGCGATTCCACAGCTTCTATTTTGCGCGAAGAGGCTAAGCTAATAATAATCTATTTCGCATATAACTGCATAAACCATATTCGTAAGCATTATTTTTACCAGGAGGTATACATGTCTCTCTTCCTTCAGAGTAACCGAAAAAAGAATGGCTCTGTTTTCGACTAAAAAGCAGTGCCTAGTCTTTGCCCCACTGATAGTTTTGACGCGCGTAAATTTGAAATTCGGGAAATTACATTTGTAGAGGCTTCGGGACAATAAAGGCTTTGTTTGGAGAAGCTGATAGAAAGAGCAGAGCGTTCTCTATTCTAGAGCATGGTGCACACTGGTCGCATATCGTTGTAAGGATATGTAATACCTGCTAATACCCGGCGGGATTGAGGGCTGAAGTGAGAGAAGAGACTGGCTGCGTTAGCAACCGAACAGGGAACCAAAGGCAGTGAACAACAGGACCTAGTCAACCCAAAAAATAGAGCCGGCGTTACGAGAGGGGGGAGGGTTATCAGGGGAACGACCCGTTCCCACTACGAGTCACGTGACTAGTAGATCTGATAAGAGGCTATTTGTTAAAGACGGAGTAGATGAGAGACATATCAAGCTCGATAGCGAAGCCGCTGGTTGATACCACCGCGGCAACAGAGCTTGCTATGATATCGGCAACGACAACGCAATGGGTAAGGAATACACGAGACGCAGGACATGACTGCTGCTGGTACAACCATATTTTCGTAGGTGTTTAACAGATGTCCTCAGCCAACGGTATAACTCCCTACGATCGTTCTAGCTGTACGTTATGTGCATAGAGAAGCCGTAACTACTAAAGAAAATGAATAAATCCTTCAGAGGGGTAGAGTGTATTGGTTTAAAAGATTCTGTAAACTGGACTATGCACGAACTGCCGAAAAGTTAAAACAAACACAATAGAGTCAGATTTATTCGCTGATGTCTGCATACTATTTTTAGCTATATGTGACAATATTAAGAATTACAGAAAGAAATTGTTGAATAACTTTCATATTAATCTTGTATGTTTTGAAAGGCTCCATCGTTGACGAAATTTCTCTCGAAGTTAACGCTACGGTCAAACACATGTAAATCTAGAGTTCGGTTTAGGTTGTTCAAAAATAGGAATTGACTAAGCAATACTCGAAGGTATTAACATATATTTTTGAGCATTGCCTTGCATTAATTGCATTTGAGCAGTCTGGAGCATTGCCTTGATTTAATGAAGGCACACAAGTTTTTTTAGTCGGATATGCTAGATTCTTCCATCTTTACGTAAACTAAATGCGCAATAACATATATTTTGTAAATTATTGACGTCTGCTTGTTGTCGGCCCAATCAGTATACAACAAGTATTCAAATTCACGGTCCATAATATTTTTAGTCACGCTTTTGCTACACAATATCAATTTTACACGCGCACTCCTATTTCATGTGTGACGCCTCGCTCTCATGAAGGCGGTAAGGAGGAGGCTATTGCGTGTCACTTCTCCCTCAACGCACCGTCGCATAAAGCACACCCTGCCGCAACGGCTCGACTTTGCGTATAGCCTTCATGAATTTGACGGAGCTCGCTCTGCTAATGTGCAGCTACTGTAACTACGGAAGCCCTATATATCGCGTTGCCGTTGTCGTTTATAGTACGGATCGTTTGTTAGGGCTCGCACTGCCGTATCGAATGAATGTCTTAGCTCTAACTGCTGTTCCCTTCTATAGTCTGATGGCGGCGGTACCACGCACTCGCACCACATTGGATCCTTGTCGCTGCTGCCACCGACCAAACTGAACATACTAGAATTTCGCGCGCCACGAGAGATCACTGCGCTGAGATAAGACTAATCCTCCTGAGAATGAGCTGATGCTGCTGCTGCTGCTGCTTCGGGAAATTGTCACCAGTCGAGCGTCATTTTGTTTGTCACAGCTACGAAAACCATTCAGCCTTCGCAGCTGTTGTTCAGCCAATCCACTATATAATTGACGAGCAAATGCTCGAAGCAAGGAGACACGTAGTTGACGTAAGCGACAAGGCTCCCATCCTAAACATACAGAAGCGGAGACGGGCCGCTTAGCAATTAAATAGTTTAAACAAGCCAAAATTATAAACAGGACTGCTATGAGGTAGCTAGTTATTAACGAAAATGTGTAGATGTTGTTTTTGGTGACGATGTTATTACTTAGCATACATTGTATTCTGCGAAAAAGTTCGATATTTGATGTATCCTTACTATCAAATTTATAAATTGTAAACAGCTGCTAGCTCGGACGCAGTAACGGTATGAAAGCCTTAATCGTTAGCCGATGGTTTGGGACCAAACCGTCAGTGTCCGAATATACTTACAAACTTAGCCCGATAATCGAATGCCATCAGGTAAGCTTCCGCCTATTTTGCCGACTAATTTGAGTGCCGCTGCAGTCATTCTATAACATCACACATGTCTCATGTAGCATGTATGCAATTTGAACCGATACAACGTGAATACACAATTTTCAGCCGTTACCAAGTAAAGGACAAACAAATCAGTGGGAAGCCAAGGAGACGATCACAGTCAGAGGGCAGACATGTAGCCAACGAATGCCTTTTGTCAACACCCTCATCGGCCAC